CGTTTTTAGATAGTTTTTCTAGATTTTTTTGGCTTTTCTGTTTTCTCCCCCAAAAAATTAGGTTTTGGACAAAACAATCAAAAATATGATATGCGCAAAAAACGTGTTTCTTTTTCTCTCTCACAAGAGGCACGAATTTGCTTCCGCGAGAGGCATGGATTTGCTCCCGCGAGAGGCATAGTCGTGCCTCTCGGAAAGGAAAAATATATATATTCTTTTTTATTTTCCTTCCATGAGAGGCACAATCATGACTCTTGAAAACGAAAAAAACGTGTTTTTTTTTTTTCTTCCACGGGAGGTACAGATTTGCTTCTCGTGTAGTCACGGATTTGCTTTCGTGAGAGCCTCTTGAAAACAGGAAAAATGTGTTTTATTTTTTTTCCTCCCGCGAGAGGCACAAACACGTTTCTTTTTTATTTTCCTTCTGTGTTAGGCATGAATTTGCTTCAACGAGAGTCGCAAATTTACTTCTCATGGATGCACGAATTTGCTTCTGCGAGAGGCACTGTCGTGCCTCGAAATTCGTCAAATTCTATCAACATGGGATCTAATTTTAAAGATCTTGACGTGAGGAATCCAACGGTGAAAACAGTTTAAGATTTGTACGGACGGTTAAGGAAATAAAACGTTTTGAATAAACAGATCGACAAAAAAAACTCGCAGGTTACGATAAATGGCGTACATGCAATGCGTCACTTATCGCAGTCTCAAAAGATGGGAGTGATCTTTGTAAAGAGTACTTCCTAATTAGACATTTCTAACCACGGATGAGTTCAGATGCATAGAGTTCATTCAGATGCATACACATGTGACCTCAATGGTGTCCCCGGGATCTTGGACCATGGTGGGAATACTTAATTTTCATACGAATTTTAGGCTAAGGTGGGCCAGTGGCGGCGCCAGGGGTCTTCGCTGGACTTTCATGGAATATCAAAGAAATGCTAATCCATTGGTATAATGCTGCTACCTTGCTGTATATTTGTTGTTGTATTGACATAAAATTGCACAAATGACTACCAAGGAAGAAATTCCTGGCGTCGCCTGGTGGGCTCAACTCTCTTTTACCTTCTTTATTTATTAAACTTTTTTGTGTGATACATAGTGTTTGGGAAAATCTAAGGGTGAGTCATGGCCAACACATCCACCCCTTAGGTATTTTTTAAGATAAAGATCATCACCCCCTAGATTCATCAATGTCGTTACCCATAGTGGCGTATCCACTTTTGGGCATCTTCAAGGGAGACCCTCAAAACTTCAGTATATGTTTAATTAGACATTTTTGTTCATTTTTAAAATCCAATGCAGTCCTGCATCGGTCTGAAAAGTGGTTCGGACGTCCGTTTTCCAGCAAAATGAAGACAAACATGGAGGAATATACCAGAGTTCGTACGTCCACTTAACCAACCAAAAGCCTCCGCATGGTCCTGCTCTTTTTTCTCTCTCTTCACATGCATGGTCCCCCCCACCTATCTCTCCTCTTAAACGGACACACCACAAATAGCCCACCACATGCATGGTCCCTACCTAAATTTCTCCTTCCAACCGGATACTTTGTGATTAGAATTAGATGGCTCACTCCAGCATCATGTCTGCGGACCATGTCCGGACATAAAAACAGACAAATATTGGAGACTTTTGCGGGCCAGTGTTGGAGATGCCCTTAATGCGCCATGGTGGTCCAGTATTAGAAATGTTTATATAATTTTATTTATATTCAAAGAAATATTTTTTACTACACTATTTACAAGCTATTGGAAAATTCCAGGGCGGTACATGGACCACCCTGTCCACCCCCTACCTACGCCACTTGTCCACCCGCAAAGTATCCATGGGCCACATGTGTTGTCCATGCCTAAACCCAATGGATATCCAACTATCTACGGGCGTTGAGATCATGTGTTAGTGGCTGCTCAGTCACATGGCTTAGGTAAAAGGTTATGTGTTCATCTATGGAGCAAACAAAGCAACAACCATAATGGTGCGTACATGGCAAAAACAATTGTAACAACAAAATGTCGCATAACACAATAGGCAGTACAAGTATTCAGTTTTCCACGCATCATGAGAAATAAACACAACACAATATAGCCAATACTTAATGGTCAATACAAAATTGCAAGCTTGCGACATCAAATAAAAGGTCTCGCATAGTAACAAGTTTCTTATTGCAAATCATTAACAGATGCATGCAAGTAAGATAGTAATCTGGAATATCACTGCAGCATAGAAGATTTGTTGAGTTGAATGCTTGAGCTTGGAACAACCTTCTTAGTCTTCGGTGGTAATTGATTTGGTGGCATCCTACAATGGGGAAAACACAAATTACAATAACTTAAGCATGATTGAATATCACCATCAATCCTCTTCAAAAGATGAATGTTTAGCCAACAGTTAGTTTTTGTAGATTGATTTGGTGATATCATCTTCAATAGTTGAGTGTTCTGAGAAGCAAGTTGTCGAGCTTGGCCTTAAATGATAAGTGTGTTAGTTTGAAGTGGAGTAGGATAAATTTAGCTCAAAATCAAGTCACTTTATCTACTACTAACCAGAAAGGACCTGATAGGTCATTCAGAAATACATGGGGGAGTGAAAATATGCCTTCAAAATCTAATTTTGACTCTTGGTTATATAACACAACATCGTTGCTACCAAAGTCAATATGAAGATGTGGAATTGGGAGGGTAATACCACCTATCGCTTTTGTGCAGAAGAAATGTTTTTTTGTCCAAAAAAGGGTTAGAAGAACATGTCCTCATATGGTCCTTTGGTTGAGGAGATCAAGACGCCGCTCCCTCCATTGAGGAGACCAAGGTAAAATGGGTTAAATGTTCTTCCAATGAGGCGACGTGTGGTCTAGCGAAGGAAGGTTGTTGACATGAACTTATTAAGACGTGGTTTGCTTTACCTCTAGGTTGTATTTTTTATGTACTGGACTCGGATATTTCCGTGATCGTTGAATAAAGCGCAACAATTCCAACTAAAAAAATCATCTCTTTTTTAGATTTGTGGTGAATGGTGATACATCCTAAACGCATTTGCTTTTTCCAACACTTTTGCTTAGGTTTTGCACTCTAAAATTACTAAGGTGAACAGAAACATTCAAGGCTAACATTTTTTCAGCCTAAATGCAAATATGTATTTTTGAGTGTGTAGGTACAAAAGTCCAGGAAAATCCAACAAAGATAATTCCACGCAAGATATCAGAGGAGAAGACCACTTGCTAGATGAGGGCACCTAGGGAGTCCCAAGGGGGGCACGCACACCTGCCATGGGGCTGGGGAGGATGCCACATTGGAGATCCACA